TTGCACGTGGTGCTATACATTTCGGTTGAGGTATAAACTTTTGCACGTGGTACTTGGTCGGAGGATTCTTTTCAAAATGATATCACTATGTCACGTACATTTTTACTATAAATTGTCGCACAGCCTCCACGGTCGTCAGTTTGCTTGTCGAATTAGTTCAGTCTGTTAGTTTAGTCTGTCAGTCAGTATGTGAAAAATGTCAAACATTAATACTTTACTATATAATTTAAATAATATTAATATTTTGGCGCATTCGTTGGCACAACAGAGTGACCAATTAATAGAGAGTGGGCGTAATCTACAGACCGCAGCTGCAAACGCGGGACATCATGAGCCAGGGTTACTGACGGTCACCTATGATATTTGCGTTAATAACGAGTTGCTGGAAAGAGATCGTAAGTATTAAATTATTAATTCAATACTTGATTGGCATTAAAGCTGTATGAGATTAGAAAACCATTGAGGTCGAAATTTAGTTAATAGAAATAATATTGTAGATAAAATTTGTTTACTCAGATGGGTTAATATTATCAATTATATCATTTCATTTATAGATTCATCTAGTTGTTTATCTTTATATATTTTAGTTTTGTTTATTTATTTGAAACGTGAAGAGAGAGAACGATGATATAACAATAATCTTTTAAAATTATTTCAACGATGTGAAAGTTTCCTAAACAATATTTCATCATTCTTATATTGAAATTTATCACTAAAATTAAAAAAAACGCCTACATATTTTATTTCTTTATTTTATTTACTTTTTCCCAGACATGGTACATCTGATGTTATAGCTCAACTAACTGGGGTGCTGGACGTACTAATAGCATCGACGCGGGATGTGGAGAGGAATGTCAGGAGGGTGGATCGAAGGATGAGGCGGAGAGTGAGGCGAGAGAACAGAAGTTTAGAAGAAAACGATATAATTATAGAAGAAAGAGAGAGAGGGGAGCAGCAGTGGGAAGAGTGATAAACATAACAAAAAAAAACAAAAAAACACATGTAATAAATAGATATAAATAAATATATACATATACGCATATAAATAAATATATATACATATAAATATACGCATATAAATAAATATATATACATATAAATATA